GGGCGCACACACGTGTACACACACAGGGCGCACACTCGTATACTCACACACGGGCACATACGTACGTACACACACGTGTACACATACAGCACGACGCACACACTTGTGCACACAACAAAGATCCCCCATATAGCCTTAACAGACTGTAGGGGCAAGTGCTGTTAGCGAGCACCTATGAAGGCCGGAACGGTACACGAGGGGGTGGGTGGCCAGCACCACACCCGACCGCCTTTGTCTCCCTAGTGGCGATGTTTACACACCGCACCAAGTACTCATTTGAGGCTGAGTCGACCTAGGGGAGGCCCGGGACCGGTTCAGATAATCGTCACTGGTGTTGGCCGTGAGCGGGAATCGAACCCGGGTCGCCAGGTTCATAGCGCAGCGCGCTAACCGTTACACACACGTGTACACACACTCACACAGGGCGCACACGCGTGTACACACACACAGGGCACACACTCGTGTACACACACACACGGTGCACACGTGTACACGGTGTGCGGGGGACGTCAAGCCGGAGGTGACCACTTGAGACGGAAGGGCCGGGGTCATTTTATTCCAATTCAATAACTGAATCAATAAATCATGAACCCCGTTCAGCTTCGCCGAGAGCCACCGAGATTAGCCCCCCCCCCCCACCTCCCCCCGTTCACAACACCGACCCAGCCAGCAGACACCTTCACAGGTAGCTCGCTCGAATCGGCATCTCAAGCGCAGCGACTTGGTGGTCTCAGCAACGATCACCAATCACTGAGAGGGAGCAGTGGTTTTAAACATTAGCTGCAGCCTTGTAACCCCTACGGTTCTGAATCGTTTTTTTTAAAATATATAATGTTATTAAGGGGCCGTCCATAAATGACGTCACGCATTTTGGACGATTTTCTACCCCCCCCCCCATCGTCACTCGGCGTCACAAAAAATCAGACCCCCCCCTCCCTCAAATATGACGTCACAAAGCTCTGCCCCCCCCCCCGAAAAAAAAAACATGCTTCAAATGGCTTTAAACTATTGTCATTGTAGTGCGTATTTAATGTAGCGCTGCACTCTGATGTTGCAAGAGAAAACATTTATTAAAAAGGATATTTAATTAAGTAGAACGTGTTGTCTATATTTATTTAAAGTTGCGCATTTTTACGTGACGTCACATTTCTCAACCCCCGCCCCTCGTCACACATCTTCACAAAGCAGTTGAATACGTAGTAGGCTTTCGCGACCAATATTATTAATAATAAAGGTTTTTGGGTTAGATCGCGTTATTTATAAATGTGTCGTAACCCTCCACCACCCGACACGGCCAATCAGCAAAAAAAGTGTCACGTTGACAAAAGACAAATAATTCACTACTTTAGCCCACCGGTGTGTTGAAGAGTGAATCCACAACATTTACAATTTGAGTACGACGTTTCGCTGGTAATTACATCCAGCATCATCGGGCAATTCGCCAGAATGGTGAAGCCCTCTCCACTTGCTCCCGGTCTTAAATAGAGCAGCAGCAGGGTGACGTCATCATCATTTAACTCATTCAGGTGCAGTGATTTGAGGGGGAGGGGGGTATTGTAATCATATAATCGATTGGTAATCAGTCAATGGTTATGATTAGTAATGAGTAGTAGATTAGTAATTAGTTGTAATGTGTGTTAGTGATTATATGCTACGTTAGTAATCCGTTAATTAGTATGTGTTTCCCCTATAAGGAATTGTAATATGTATTATTTAATAATACGCTTCCAAGCCGCACTAAGCCTGTAGCTGTCAGAGCGATTAAAATTATTTCTATTTCTCTCAATTTTAATGGATTCTCTAATTAGTCTTTGCCAGTAATAATTCGTTTTACACAACACTTCAACGTCATCAAAATCAATTGAGTGTGCTTGTTGACAAGCATGTTCTGCCACTGCCGACAGTTGTGTTTGAGATCATTTAATATTTCTATGGTGTTCTTTTAGTCTTATGCTGATGTCTTCCAGGGGGCGCGTGCACCCAAGGCTAAGAGCCACCGTTATAGAGAGATCCGTAATAGACGTTAGAGACCCATCGTAGACTCACACAGAGGTCACAAGACTCGCAAAGAGAGACCCGTGGCGTCGCATCGACTGGGTTGTGATTGGCCCGGGTTTTGATGGTCTCGGCGTGGTCACTAATACCTGCCCCCCTCCCCCCCCCGAGAAAAAGCCATGAACTTCTCGCATTAAACGTCGTTCCGCACTCAATGTTGATAAATTCCAGCTCCCATGAATATAAATCCTGCAGTGTGACCGTCGCGTGGCGAACATTGCTCCGCTATGCCGAGCGCGTGGGACGTATGCATTTGTTGAACTTCTTTCGCACCGTACGCAGCCAACCGTGCTAATCGGAGGTGCGGACAGTGTTGATCCCCACCCCCCACCCAGCCCGCCCCTCGCTGTGTGAAACCGGAAGTAATTAGAAGGCCTCTCAGACGTAACTCCGTAATGTCCGATTTAATTTTTAGCCGCTGTCTAGCGCGGCGGCTGGTGGGATGCGGTGGCTCCTCTGCTCGGTGAGAGTTAAGTTCAGTTGATTTTGAAGTACCCCGTGATCTGAGAAGCTCTTGATTCGGGTTGCATCAACAAAAGCATCGGTTCCCTGGTCAAACAGAACGGAACATTTCAGGTCGCCAGAAAACTAGGAATACGAATAAATACATAACGTAAAGAATATTTGATTTTTTTTTTCAATTTTTTTACTAAAATGAGGATTATGATTGAAGAACATATCGCAAAACAAGGCATTACTATTCTTGGTTCTTTCGGTAAAGTCACGTAGAAGGGAAACAATAAAATAATAAAAATATAAAACAATTACATTCTCACGACGTTTCTACTGCAACACAAGCAATCATCATCAGGTGTGAAAACCACAGGGGTCAATTTTCTTGCTGTGGTTTTCACACCTGATGATGATTGCTTGTGTTGCAGTCGAAACGTCGTGAGAATTTTATTGTTTTATATTTTTATTATTTTATTGTTTCCCTTCTACGTGACTTTACCGAAAGAACCAAGAATATGAATCCCTGCAGTCACGAAAGCTTTAAATCAAGGCATTAATAGTTTTAATCCGTTCAGGGGCCCGAGTGAATGACCACAAACGACGCTCGGGGATTTTCGGCTGGGTCGTCCCGCTGCTGCTGCTGCCACTCAGCTTCTCACTCCGAATATTGTTTCCAGGTTCGTGCCCCGCGAGTTCGTTTTTTGCTGCACGTTTTCCCCTTCCGCATGATAAGACATTTTCTGTCAAAATCGGAAGAAGCCGCCCGGCACATGAAGCGGAACGTCGGAACGCCGCGGTGCCCGCGTCACGTGGTTCGGCGCATTCGCCGCTCTCAGCGGGGACGAATGAGCGCGCAAACTGGGATCAGATTTTTGCCAAGATGACAAAAAACTAAAATGAAAGAGGATAAGAGTTCATTAAAAAAAAATTCTCCCCCTGATGTTGCTGCTCCGAGTCGGCCACTGTCAGGGTAGGCTCCTAGGGCTTCGCTGCTTCCCAAAAGGGGGAGAGAGGAGGGGGGGGGGGGGGTTCCGTAGCTTAAAGCTGCGTAAACAGAGTCCCACATTCATCACAATGACAAAATACATAAGAATCCCATTCGATGTATGTTCGCTCGGTAACGTGATATTCATTTCACGTCGGCTGCTTATTCTTTGTTCTTTCGGTAAAGTCACGTAGAAGGGAAACAATAAAATAATAAAAATATAAAACAATAAAATTCTCACGACCTTTCGACTGCAACACAAGCAATCATCATCAGGTGTGAAAACCACAGCAAGAAAAATGTTATTTTTATTATTTTATTGTTTCCCTTCTACGTGGTGACTTTACCGAAAGAACCAAGAATATGAATCCCTGCAGTCACGAAAGCTTTAAATCAAAATGTATTTGGCTGCTTCTATACATTTCCACAGGATGACGATGATGATGACGATAAGTCACTCCGTTGAGCTATCATTTGTGATAGCCATGTCGCTTCTGCAAAAAGAGCCGCATAGCCCAGTGTGGCCTTAGCTGGTAAAATAACACACGTAAAAAAAAACTATTCAAATAGAATAGAGAGACTGCCACTCTCGGACGTGTGGGTGGCGGTGGGGGCGGTTTGCATGGCCAAGCGGAAGGGCCCACTCAGCTATAGAGCTCTTTTTTGCAGAAGGGACCTGGCCACGGACGATAGCTCAATGAAGTGACCATGTGGACATTTATAGTAGACAAACACTTGAAACGCATGTCGATTCTACATTTGGAGAGGGAAAACTCAGAGAATCCAGAGAAAAAAATCCACGCGACCACGGGGAAAGAGAGAGAAAAAGAGAGAGAGAGAGACACACACACACCGCAAACTCCAAATGCATGGTGCTTCAACAAAATGTTAACACTTCGGAGAATTTCCAACAATACTACGAGAAATGTGCTGCTGCCTCCAGGCTCTGGTGAACACCTGGAGAAGATCCCAGGCACGCGTTGACAATGATGGCGAACAAGTGGGAGACTCATATTCTTGGTTCTTTTGGTAAAGTCACGTAGAAGAGAAACAATAAAATAATCAAAATATAAAACAATAAAATTCTCACGACGTTTCGACTGCAACACAAGCAATCATCATCAGGTGTGAAAACCACAGCAATAATTTTATTTTTATTATATTGTTTCCCTTCTACGTGACTTTACCGAAAGAACCAAGAATATGAATCCCTGCAGTCACGAAAGCTTTAAATCAAAATTCAAGTGGGAGACTCGTTGACTCTCTGAAGCTATTCACGTTACACGTGTCATCACGTTACAGTGTATTACTTATCCCTTTCTTTTCCCATTAACAACGACAGTCCCATCCATATAAACGTTCACACTTTTGTTTTTCTTGTAAGCACCCCGTACACAACGGGGGGGCAAATCGAAGCCCACGAACTTCCACCGTGCAACCCAGCAGGCGAGCGAGTAGAAACACCCTTCGTCTCCCAAGCCCACAGCGTTGGCGCCGCGAGCCTCACCTGCCGATGAGCAGGAACTCGCCGACGGCTCCCAGGTGCCGCATTGCGATGAGCAGCCCACGCACCGTCATTCCCTCGCAGAAGCAGACCACCACGTGCGTCTTGGGCACCTGCGCGCGCAGCTGCTCCACCAGGCGCTCGAAGTTGCTCTCCTCGGCGTTGCTGTAGATTTTGTCAGCGTAGGCGATGCAGATGCCCGCGTCGTCGGCCAGCTTGCGGAACGCCTGCATGCCACTCTCGCCGTAGTTTCCTGCCCGACGGGACCCAACGATAGTTGGTGGGGGGGGGGGGGGACACGGAGGGGGGTAAGGTCAGCACAAGGAGGTCATGGGATCACATGGTCGCAGGGGTCACGCGAGCTGGAAGTAAATGCGGGGGGGAGGATGTCGCGGGTCGCACAGGTCACAGCCTCGGCGGTTATTCGGGAATCGTCTTCTGCTGCATAGAATCAGAATGTGTATTTATACTGGAGGAGAAATCCGATGAGCTGCAAAGCTCTTTATCACAGATGTCCAGTAGGTGCGGGTAAGAACGTTACAACAAAGAAAGATACGGCAGAGCGAGGGGGTGGTGGGGGGGAGACTTTGAATCATGTGGAGAAGGGAGCTCAGATGTAGCTCTGTGGTAGCCGCTTCTGCGGGACGTTCTCTAATAACACGGATGGGCTGCCCTGCCCTGCGAGAGATCGTCTCTTTCTCTCTCTCTCGCTCTCTCTGCAGGCTCCCGACGAGTTCCAATGGGGCGATGAGAAGACGGCTGAGGGTTCCACTCCGGGCGAGTGGCAAGTTCAGACATTCTGGGGGTGGGTGGGCGGATGGGTGGGTGGGTGGGTCGAGTTTCGCAACAGTGGGATTGCCCTTCCGTTCCTGCTCCTGCTACTGCTGGTGTCGCGGCTCGGTCCGATCAGATTCCCCCATCCGGCCTCCAACGGGCGCCAAATCCGAGCAGTCGACTGCACTGAGGTCTCGCTGCGGATGTGTAATGATTGTTTCTGCCAACTCGGCACGGTGCCCCCCCCCCCGCCACTCCTTCAAATTGGCTTCCTCCCTTAGCCCCCTCTCCCTTACCCCCCTTCTCCCCCTCCCTTACCCCCCTCTCCCCATTCCTTACCCCCTTCTCCCCGTCCCTTACCCCCCTCTCCCCCTCCCTTACCCCCCTCTCCCCATTCCTTACCCCCTTCTCCCCGTCCCTTACCCCCCTCTCCCCCTCCCTTACCCCCCTCACCCCCTCCCTTACCCCCCTCTCCCCCTCCCTTACCCCCCTCCCCCCCTCCCTTACCCCCCTCTCCCCCTCCCTTACCCCCCTCTCCCCCTCCATTACCCCCTCCCTTACCCCCCTCTCCCCCTCCTTTACCCCCCTCTCCCCCTCCCTTACCCCCCTCTCCCCCTCCCTTACCCCCCTCTCCCCCTCCCTTACCCCCCTCTCCCCCTCCCTTACCCCCCTCTCCCCCTCCCTTACCCCCCTCTCCCCCTCCCTTACCCCCTTCACCCTCCTCCCCTACCCCCCTCTCCCCCTCCCTTACCCCCCTCCCACCCCGCCGCCGTCCCACACCCCCCCCTTTCTAAGTGCAAGGGGGGGAGGGGCGAGGACGGTGGCGAGTGTCTCACGTTGTTTAATTGCGCCGCTTCCGAGCGGTGATCAATGCAGATTCGATTGCCGAGTCGGCGCTTTCCTTCGGCTCGCCACGAAAAGGTCGCGCGAAAGGTCAGCGGATTTTGTTTTGGGCAGATTAAGGAGGAGGAGCAGGAAGGAGGAGGAGGGAGAAGGAGGGAGGAGGAGGAGGGGGGAGAGAGGAGAAGGGAGGAGGAGGGAGCAGGGAGGAGGAGAAGGAGGCGACCCCCCTGTTTTTTGAGCGTTCGGCTCGGGCAAACGGAATGAATTGGCCCACGCAATTACGCGTTTTGTTGTTGCTGTTCTTGTTGCCGTTGTATCGCCGAGCCCAGATCCACTAATTTCCCCCCCTTTCATCTCTCTCTCTCTCTCTCCTCCCTTCAGGCGAACTCTGCGCCTGCCGCTCGCTGCTTTTGGCTGCGGGCTGCCTCTCTTCCGCGTAGAATTTTGCGCAGAATTCCCGCAGCCCGCACGCCCGCCGATCTCCCTGCGCCGCACTTGAAACAACATTGCACGTTTATTTCAGCGAGAAACCGCTCTCCGCCCATCCCTCGCCTCACACCAACGCCTCTTCTGTCCACTCATCGGTTAATAGAGTAAATGGGTTTAACTCAGTTCGTCTCTGTTAAGGGCTATGCGGGGGACGTTTGTCTTTTAAAACATAACCAAAGACCAATCCAATATCGACACGTCCGACGGAAAGGACATCCACCGTGGAGGAGACGTAGCAACGGAATCATCTTGCGAGCAGGATCGTGACGGATCGCGGTGGCGTCTGGTGGAGTACCTACACCATCCAGCAGTTGATTGACCTTGGCCGGCGACGATGATGACGACGAGGACCGCGCAGACGTCGCGTTAATCTCGGGGAAGGAGACCGACTGCGCTCACCAGAGTCGTCGTGCACCACACGCATCGTGGTGGCAGTGGCGGTGGTGATTAATGACCGCTCACCTCCGCTGTAATTTCCTAAAAACACCCCCAGCCCACCCCCCATACCGACTCCTGCTCAGGTCACCCACTTACGGTGACGTGGATTATTTAGCGCCTTGTCATGTTTCACCCCCCCCCTCCCCCCACGCATCTTGGAACGCTGCACTCTCCTAAGAAGACAAAGATCCCGCCCCTGTATAGCCCGCAACAGACTGCTGGAGCAAGTGCTGTTAGCGAGTATCAGCACCCTGTGAAGGCCTGCACTGTGGCACACCAGGGGGTGGGTGGGCAAAGCACCACGCCCGGCCGCCTTTGTCTCTGCGGCGGGGACGTTGACACATCGCACCATTTCATTCCCATGACCTGTGCTGTGACGCGTGGTTGGTAACAACGCGGTTGTTAGCAACGCAACACTTGGAATCATTTGTATTATGTAAATTAGCAACAACAACAACAAATAAGTGGAGTTAAAATGCACGCTTGGAATAATATTGGGGAGGGCTTTTGCCCACAATTTTGCCTTTTTTTTAAAGGAAGCTCGGACCACTGGCTGGGAATCATCAGCGAGTTGGAGATGCGCGTGGTTGGTGGGCGTAGTGCCACGTGCCACGGATAGCACACACACAAAGACAAAGATCCCCCCGTATTGCCTGAACAGACTGTTGGGGCAAGTGCTGTTAGCGAGTCGCACCTATGAAGGCCGACACGGCACACGAGGCTGTGGGTGGTCAGCACCACGCCCAGTCGCCTTCGTCTCCCGAGTGAGGATGTTTACTCACCGCACCAGATATTAATTCGAGGCTGAGTCGACATACGGGAGGCCCAGGACAGGTTCAGACAATCGTCACTTGTTGTTGATGGCCGTGAGCGGGTCACACTTCTTAAAGTGATTGCACCAAAGATTTTTGCATTGTGGGAACAACTCCCAGAATGCACAGCCGAGGGCTGTTGTCGAGGCCGCGTTTGTGAAACCACGCCGCTATTTGCGTTAGGGCACGTGACGTTATGGCACGTGGGGTGTGGGGCACGTTGCGTGCCGGGCACGTGGCGTTAGGGCACGTGACGTGTGGGGCACGTGGCGTGCGGGGCACGTGGCGTGCGGGGCACGTGGCATGTGAGGCACGGAGCGTATGAGACACGTGGTGATCTCGATTCGGAATGTACTCCGGGACATCACGCTTTCTCTCCATATCTGTCTCTCCGCGTAAAAAAAAAAAACGAATGAAACTGTTTTAGTTTGTACAAGTACCATCAGCCACCGCTGCCGTATAAGAGTGATCGATTTCGTTTTTTTGTATATTCAGCAGTTAGCGGTGTCTGATATAATTCGAACCGAAAAACAACAACGCTGGACCGGTTTTGACAATCGCTGTCTCGTCAGCAAGAGTCGAGGCTTGCCTAAAAATATATAAAAATCAATACCAATGCAAGTCAACTGCCAGATGTTTATAGGCGAGGATATGGGAACTAGATATGGGAACGAGCACTGATTTGTTTAAATTTATTCCTTAAGGCAAAATATCAAATGAAGCATGAGGGGTGGGGGGTGTCGCTGTCGTGGGGTGATAAAATAAATAAAATCTGAGCAGCGTAGATGCAGTAACAGTAAATTAGATTAGTGCTGTCAGTCGCATCAATAAAACACGCACGTACTGAATAAAATGAGTGAATCCCCTGTGTGAATTGAGCCAGGCGAGCGAGTGAGTGAGCGGAGCGGGCCAATGAACTGAACGACTAAATGAACTGGATGGATGAATGAGGGAAGGGACGATGCATTTGCATGAGAGGAGCGTTCCTCTCCATCTCTATCTCTCCGCGCAAAAAGGAAGACTCAATAACAATTACGCGGATGGTAAATTGGGTGCTTCAAAGGAGCGGCGGCGCCGCTGTTGCGGGAGATGATAAATAAATTGAAAGAAGCGGGCGAAGAGAATCCCCATCCTTCGCAGTTTTGGGGCAATTAATGCTGCTGCAGGGAGAGTGATGGGGTGGGGGTCACAGGGAGAGTGGGGGGGGGGGGGGTATGCATCCAAGGAAGGAGCAAAAGCCGAGGGTTTTATTATTGAGAGCGATCGGAGGGCTGTGATGCTAGCGGCAGTCAAGGAGGAACGCACGGCCTCCTCCATCCTCCATCCATCCATTCATCATCCTCCTCCTCCATCCTTCCTGCCGCTCATTTGACGCGGCTCCTTCCGTGGTCGAGATGCAGGCGACGCGGGATTGAGGCCGCATCTCGCGGTTATTGAATTTTGGGGAAAAACGGATTTTTGTTTATTTTAAATCAAAATAACCCCCTCCCCCACTTGCCTGCCCACCCGCCCGCCCTCCACCCCACCCCACACAGGTCAGACGAGGGAGGAGAAGACTTACGCTGGTAGGTCGACAACCCACCTGGTAGACACCTTGCAGTCCCGGCCCAAACAGAAATAACCAATGCGGTCGTGAATTGAGACCAAATGTAAAAGCACCTTCGCCCGCCAACGAAACGCTCTGCACGCCGTCCAAACTGCGTTGGAAGCGCCTCTCTGTGTGTCGGTGAGCAGCTGAACCTGGGTTGGAATCCGAGTCAGCAATTGGGGTTAATCGTCGTGGCCACATTGGCTACGTGGTTTAGGGTTTAGGGCCAGAGCCCAACCGTGTTCGACGTTCTAACCCTGACCCTCCCAGGGATTGGGTACCATCAGCGGTGTCGTCATCTGCACCCAT